AAATCTTTCATTCCTTTAGAGACAGCATGAAAAGTGAGCTGAGTACAAAACATAGAGAGGAAAACAAGAAGAAAAGGGACAAGAAGAGAGGGACACAACCTAGAACAGATCATGGATGTCTATTCTATTAACATTTCTATATCTGGAGAATGAGGCTGTTTATGTGTTGTCTTCTCAGTTCAGAGGGCCCCTTGCCTGTCTTTGCCTAGGGCCCCATATTTCCTATATCAGCCCCTGACCCATAGAGTGATGGAGGCGATGAAGGAGGGATGGAGGATTTATTCATCTTAATTCATAACTGATTAGCTGATACATTTTTTAAACTGCTTAAATGTTCAGATGTTAAACAGATGTGCTTCATACATTCATTAGATTTGCTTTAACTCATATTTAAAAATAGAACGACAATTTCTATGGAAACCTGAATGTAATGATTTTGTTAATTTAGCAAATCCTTGTACTCAAAGTTTTTTAATTGGTTAGTCTTTATCAACGGATATATACAAACAAAAAGGCCTTTATTCAAATAGAAATGTCCATGTAGAATAAACTTAGAGGCTTATGTGTAGTAACGAGTTACAACAACGGAGCAAAAACAAAAAAATAACAGTGTGGTGTAATGTGGACTCTACGCCACTAGGGGTCAGTAAGGAAACATGCCGTTTGTAATACCAAAGAAGAAGAATAGAAATAAAGTGGTTCTGAGGATATCTATGGTTCTGAGTGGGAAGCGGCACCGTGGGCTGGTTCTCAGTGGGTTTTCTGATCCATCATGAACTTCGGAGATGCCAGACTGAAGCTGCGGGAGCTGCTGGGATCAGTGGATCCCGCTGAGCTCCCGAAGTTACTGGACTGGATGAGAAACTCAGGTAATATCGCGGCTTCCCTCCTACTTATCGCGATATTTAGTCCCATCCAGCCTTCCAGCCGGTTACACGTGTTTCTGACAGCAGGAAGTAGTGATGAGTTAATAGCGTTTGGAGCCATAGCTAAACTATTGACGCTGCATTAATTCTGGCCACAGAATACTGACCCCTGCTGGACATTTACAGACACTACAGGCAGCTGATTGGACAGACTAAACTGAATGGATTTGATGACCTAGAACAGGGGTGCCCAAGTCCAGCCTCAAGAGCTACCATCCTGGAACTTTCAGATGCATCTCTTCTCTAGCACACCTGAATCTAACCTCATTTAGCCCAACAGAGGCAAGGTAACGAGCCACTCATTTGATTCAGGTGTGTTAAAAATGGTTGCATCAAAAAGTTGCAGGATAGTAGCTCTTGAGGAATGGACTTGAGCACCCCTGACCTAGAACAATGATATTATTGAATTTATTATATTATTCAGTAGCTCCTAACAGGCAGACTGGTTTAATACACAGCTCTATGGTTCACTATGACAGGAACAGAAACCAATGAGCTCATTGATTAGTTTTAGGTGACATCATGTCCACAGATAGATGCCTCCTTCCAGCTAAAAGTTTATGGGAGAAAACTAAGCTGTGGGATTATGCAGAAATATTAACTAATTAAACCCAGAATGACGAATGAAGGAAACAGAAGATGGTCACTAACATGAAGCCACATTTTTGTCCTCTTGAATTTTAACTCACCTCAAAATCCAGTTTTCTGTAGAAAAACTGTATAATCTGAGCCTAGGTGGCATTTATGTTTTACTTTGAGAGTAACTTTGCTGTTTTTCATATTTCCTTTTGTTTATTATAGTCTGTTTTTACTTTATTTCTCTGAATTGCATTCTTTTCTCATTCTCTTCACTGTAAGTCCAATACAGACAATCACTCTGACCAATAAAACATCCAGCAGAGCAGTAGAAATTCAATAATTCAAATTTTAAAACTCAATCTAGAAAAAAGTAATAAAATTATGTAATATGAAAGATTAAAATCACCTGATTTGAAAAGATAAAATCTATGAAAAGGTCAAAGTTCCTCTCAAATCTTTTTTTTTATGAAGTTTTTCAAACTTTCCTTTTTGGATTGCATTTTTTCAAGTTTCCATTTCCAAATGATCATGGAGCAAAGTTCCCCCAGTTAGATATGTTCTCCATCCTAATCCTGCTGAAGGGTCTAATGTGGGTTCCACTAACGTCTTCCTGCATCTTTCTGTAGATGAACTGGATGAGCTGCTGGTCGACAACAACAGAGTGATCCTGCAGAGCATCGCAGCAGACCTGAGAGCCCGGCTGCCTGTCCATGCCATGCTGCCCTCTGAGACTGCTGCTCAGCACAAGGTCTCTACAAGTTTCCATTTATTACAAATCAACATTCTTCTAAATTTACTAAAGTGTCAGCAGAGATGAGCAAACTATCTGGACCACAGCAGATGGTCTGAATGAACCAACCAGGGGCTGAATAATCCACTGCTGGAGGAAGCAGCAGCGTCGGCTTCGTCGTTGCTCTTCCTGACTGATAATGATGCAATCCTTTTTTTATATTTTGGTTTATTAGATGCAGATGCGGGAAAGACCCACGGTCCACGTTGACGGCTTCCTGTACAGCGAGGAGCAGGTGGATGCTCTGTGTGAGGAGGGGGCCATGAGCAGGGAATACTGTCTGAGCTGCGGGTCCCTGAGGACGGCGCCCCTCGGTAGGAGCACGCCTCTGTCCTCCATCAGAGACACCTGTAAAACAGTTCTGCAGGGTCGGGTTTAAAGATACTGTGATACCAACTTATCTCCTGTGATTTCGCCTTATAAACACAGCTGCATTACACAGAATTCAATTTTAAATTTAACTTAAAAAAAGGCCAAAGGTTGAACTTTAGTTTCCAGAGCAGAATGTTTGGTTTGACCTTTAACCTCTACAGATGGTCTCGCTTTGAGGTTCTGCAGTGATGGAAACCAGGACCTGTAGCTCTCATGTAGGGAGGAGGAAGTCATGAAACGTCCAGGAATGGTCGACTTTCTTCCGGAAGAACCTGGAAGAAAGTCCTGGTAATGGGTCATATTTTGGAGATAGTTCTATTGAAAGTCAACTCACTGTATCCGCCAGGCTACACCAGGAGAAATCTTTATGAGAATACAAACAGTGACACAAATAAATGATTTATATCATTTAAGAAGAGGATGACAATAAATCTTAATAAATTAATAACTATTGATCATAAAACTTGCAAAGTAACACTGTGTTGAAACGCTGTGTTTGAACATGGAGAACAGCTGCAGTCTGGCAGCATGATGCAGCTCAGGATGTTCGTTAAGATTCTCAGTCATCCAGGTCAGTCATTTAAAAAAAGCAGAAAAACAATCCGTTGGACTTTGTTTCCAAGTTTGAAGATGTTTTGCTTCCCATCCAGAAAGCTTCTCCTATCTAATTGCGATCACCCAAAGGGGGGGACCCGTTCATCCTTTTCAATCTGCATGTTTTCTAAACCACAAGGCTTTGTTTGGTTACTCTATAAAACCTCCAACTCAAAACTATTTCTGACATTTTGAATTAAAGAAGCTTCCTGGATGGAAGAGAAACGTCTTCAGAATTGGAAACAAAGTCCAGTGGATTGTTTTTTTTAGTTTTTTGGATTACATTTCAGCAATGTATAGCAGCTTATTGTTGCTTTGGGGAAAACCCAGCAGGGAAAACTATCAGGGAATTACATATTTAATACAGAAGGGATCATTTACTAATAGCCTTT